TTCGGGCAGTCGAAAATAAGCATAGATCCTTGAGAAGACGATTGGGAAAAGAAGGTATCGGCAGAATTTTCTAATATATAACGACGAGATTTATAAAATTTGATGTTGGAGGGTCGGAGGACCCCATGATTCATGAGCAAGAAGCATCTATAAACTCTATTCGAGCATATTAGGAAAAGGAAAACTTAACATGTAATAATGCAAAAAGCCATGATGAGATCATCGTCTCTTCAGAGCATTTATGGATGATAAGCTTGATCGGAGCCAACACCATCGAGCGATCGGAGCCGCTGTCGGACACTGTAAATGTAGCTCGTGGCCTTCAAGTCCACATTGTCATCGTCGACGTGATATGAACTTTGTTGTGCATACCCAATACTCGATCCAAGAACACGATTGGCTTTCGCGACGGTCGACCCAATCTGAACCGGCGTTGTCGACGGGAGGCTCGACATGCTCTTCCGAGCCGTCGAATGGTATTCATACTGGCCGTCTCTGGCGGCGGGCGGGCTCGGCTTCACCTTGCTACCGCCGCCGTGAGCCGGCGGAAACGACTTGGCCAGTCGGGAGAGCGGGTTGACTAGGTTGTTCTTGAGGAAGCCTCTTCTCTTGTTTGCTGTTTCCATCTTGCTGGGAGGGATTACAAGTGAAAGTGTTTGTCGTTCTTGTATCTGCTCTATGATGGAGAAGCACGTCCCTCGCGCATATATATACCTAAAAGAAAGGGGGGTTAATCAATCAAATGATGGATTAGTTTTAGTGTGAAGGAAATCTAGAGGAAGGAAAAAGAATATTCTTCCTTACCGAAATTATGCAGGAGGCGTGAAATAAAGCATCTGGGGTTTGCATGTAGAGCATATTTATCCCTTTAAAGTTTGTCCCTATCAAAGCACTGAAACGCGGGGTTATGTGGTGGGTCGGCTATTGATTATTCCTTTCATTCGTGCACTCCAACCCTCGAGTCGATCAGAAGATAAGGTTGGGAACTACCGGCAAAACTCAGGAAGGATCATATATTCCAACAAAAGTGAGGTCTAGGGGATATGTTGAGAATTGGCGGTCATTACAGTGATCTAAACGGAATGTTTGCCTTTTTGATCTGATCAAGAGAAATATTGCCGAGAGTCCGGCAGTGGATATCATTTGAATGCGAAACTAGGGTTAGAATTACTTAAGAAGAATGCAAAAAGGCTCGGTTAAAATGTTAATGATAGTAGGGGTGATCAGTTCCAAGATGTTTAGGTTCCAAATCTAGAACTTAGAATTTACACTATCAGGGTCGGTTCTTCGTTTTTAGAATCGGGAACCGACTTTATTAACCTTGAAATTGGCTTGGAACCGAACCAGCAAGGGTTTTTTTTTTTTCTAGGAAAATTTCAAATAAGAGTCTCAAGCACATATGTTTTCTTAAAAAATGATCCGGAGTGAAACTTGTCTCAAATAAGAATCTCAACTTGTCGGCCAGCAAGCATATGCCTCTTACATGCTATTTACAAGGGCCTTTTTGGTCCCAAAGCTTTTTCTTTTTTCTGTTCATCTTCTACTTCTTATCCTTTTCATTTCTCTTTGCAAGCATCTTCTCCGACGGTTCGTTCCTCCTCTGTTTGCCCTCCGACCGCGGCCTCAACCTTATCACATTTGTCTCCTTCCACCGGCAACTCCATTTTCAATTGCCTCAACCACTGTCCGCTCTCGTCGGCGCCGAGGGTCGAGGATAGGGTTATGTTCCTCGACCAAGTGTTGCTTCTTGTCCGACGTTGCGAGGAATTGGAGTGCGTGAGGCTGAGTTGGACGAAGAGACCACAATGGTGTTGTGAAAGGGCTTAATTTGAGGCCGCACAGGAGAGAATGCCTCCGACTATATATTATGGTGAAGCAAAAGTGAGGAGGAAGAAGATGATGAAGCACCGGCTTTGCCATGGCCTGAAAACAAAAGAAGCAGAAGATGAACAAAGGGAAAAAAAAAGAAAAAAGAAAAATAAATAAATAAAATGTGATCGCGGACGAAAATGCCCACAATTGTGGTATGGAAAGTAATATGTGAGAGGCACATGCTCGTTGGCCAGCGAAAATTTGGCCGGATTGTGAATTAGGCCCTTATTTGAGATTAGGTAAACACTTCATGCCATTACTTAAGACAAGTTACATTTTGGGACATCTTTTGAGAAAACATGTCCATTTCGGGTCCTTATTTGAAATTTTCCATTTCTTTTCTTAATTTTGTTTTATTTTATATATAATAAGCATGTGTCAAATATGAATACAATTCTTTTTACTCGAGGATAATATATCAAACATATTCAAGTTTAATAAATATATTTTTTTTTGAGAAAAAAAGCAAAGACATTACTTAGATTTGGGGTAAATCACTTCAAAATCGATATGGATCCATATTCTAGGATTCTGGGTAGAACTAGCTAGTTCAGGGTATAGAACCGGGAAGGAACTTGTCAAGGCCAGTTCCTAGATTGTGAAATCGGGAACCGGCCCAATAGCTCGCCCTTGAATGATTGTTAGGACAGCAAAACGTTTTTTTAAAGTGCGATAATTTCGACGATTTGAGGGTGCAGAATCTAGAACATGAGTAATTTTGGGTTAAAAGTCAGTACTTTTATTGGATACACATAGGAACAAAGGTTGGCCCAAGGACCCACAAATTAATATCTTGAACCAAATAATCCCTTTTTAAATGCAATTTATTTCCCTTTTTTTTTTTAAAAGAAAATTTGCCCTTTTTGTGCTTTGATGTGTTAGCATTAGATTGTTTCATGCCTTTGGAACTGTGTTAAATCAGGATGTGGATTACGACGAATTTTTAAACTTTGGCAATAGATGCTCCGACAATTGCCGACCATGATTCGGTGCTTCTTCTATCTTTCCATATAAAGCGATTAACGATACGTTTGAGAGTGTTCATCACTTCATATTCATCAATATGGAATTTTGCTGACATCCTCTCCCTAGCCATGCAAAGCAAAACCTACTGCCCCTGCAACAAGAGATCCAGTTCGTACTTCTGTTACGTCTTTTCTCGACAAAATTGTAATTTTATGTATGAGATGTTCATGTTCTTGGTGATCTCTTTCTTAGTTGCTAGGTGCTATCTAGTAGCTAGATTCGTTTAATTGAAGTTGGGGTGCTGTTTAGGTGGGGGGATTCAATTTCAGATTGACTTCAATACCAGTACATTAAAACCTAAGATGGCTCCGTGTTATAGTGATCTCTCCCTGAGGTAAATTTTGCAGAAAAGATTTAGACGAGACGGGCCGCGTTTTTCTTTATCCTTCGAAGAAATTTCTTCCCTCCAAGTTTCGTCCGGTGGGTTGTAAGTACGGACATTCACCTACGTTTGTATTTACATGAATCTGCATGTAGGCGTTATCCACGACTCATGATCTACAAATCGAACGTGTGATCGGAAGAAATTTTCTCCGGTCAAAGTCGGAGGATAACATAGGTTCAGACGCCGGACGGAATGTTGGTAGCCATTGAATCTGACGAGTAGCAGACAAAAGAGAGAGGCTATAAAGCAAAAGGCGAAAGGCAATTTCCCTTCTTCTTTCATAACTACACCCAATGTCCCAAAAACTGTTCACATGTTCAAGCCTAAGCCTATCTGTGCTTGAGGAGCTGTTTGTATCGAATCTTTGATCAATTTGGCTAACTTCTTCGGATCGAATTACCTTTTCTCTTGTCGATGAAAATCGTCAAAGAGCATTTTATACACTGCCTATGGCTAGCCGAGGCGATCACGGGCATGGCTGAAGAGCAAAATGAGTGTGCATGAACAGGCAATCCCTTCTTGAACCCGACTTACCTCGATCCATCCATGTCATCAATTTTCATATATGAAAAGAATCTATTGATATTTGACAATGATGACAAACCGATAATTCGAGCTGCACGGACACGAAAATCTTCGACTTGTCAATTATGACACAAAGAGTCTGAATTTGGATCATTTAGTTCGATTTGGTTGTTGTGTTTGGTTTTGTTAGTTAGTTATGAAATCGCCAAAATTTGCACCGAGTGGTTTGTCTTGATTTGAAAATTTGACCGAACTAACCCCGCTTCATATGAATAGGGAACACAAATTCCGGTGCTCAAAGTACTTCGTGTTTGTCAACAGAAAAGTGAACGCTCTGTTTTTTTCTTTCTTTTTACTTAATGTAGAAAGCAGGTAAGTACCTAGTTTTAGCGTTGACCTTCTGCAGAAAGTAGGATATATTTCGTCAAGCCAACCTTCTTTAATTGCAATTTTCGTCAACGTAAAATTCGATTGCTTCAGTTTTAGCCCTTCCTATTCCACAATCCTCAAAGCCTCTCGAGCCTCGCCATCTGAGAACCACCCATGCAAACTAAGCAAGCAAGAGGAATGAGTTGGCTATTTGCTATGCATGTCTCCTGTTTGACCATATTATGAGAAGGCATTTCGTGCCTCGGCCATGTATCTCAACGCCACGTGCTGATAAAAATGAGTTCAGATGAATGTCGTCCCGATAATCTGATCGGCTTGTTACACCGTATTAGCAATGGAGCCGATACCTTTTCTTTCCCCTACAAAGCTGCATAACGTAGAATGCATCCAACTCAGCCTGCAACCGGGTAAGACTTAGACTTGAGAGTGTCCTGAACTACCTCCCGTGTGCAAGTGCGTCCTCCACTTTTGGACTGAATGCATGAATGATGGCAGTGAGTGCGCTCTACCAAATATAGGTAGTGCTTCTGTTTCGTTCCTTTCATCATTCACAGCAATTTCCGGGAAGAAAAATGCACTTGTCCCTTCTCGGGCATGGTAGACTAATTCCAACCCCCACTAACCGCATAGACCAGTAAGTTTGCAATCAAAAGCGCCTCATGGATACTTTTCAACCAATGTTTGACCAAACACCTTGAAAGTACACGTTCCAAATACCATTTCCACAAAGCAAGGCGAGAAAACGCGCATACTCAATTCACCCAGGGTCCTAGAACCAAAAGTGACTCTCCAAGCACACATATATGTCCAATTTAGATACCTCATACATACGAAAGCAGTCGAGAGTACACTGCCCAAGGAGATACTTTCAGATAACAATGCGAGCGAATAGAACCCCCGGATTATCGGGGTTCGAATTCTATTTACATGAACATTTAATGAACCTAGTAAAACTTCAAGGTCTGGGAAAAGCACTGCATTTATTATGTCTTTAAGAAACTCCACCGGACTATTCTAGTAAGGGCAAATACTACTCCCAAGAGAAAGAGGGAGTCTGGTGCGGTCCATTTGCAGATAATCCGGCGTGCTCAGATTGGAATAACCCATGATAATGGAGTTCCCCATTGCCGGTGCTCTCAGAATCCAAACCAGGACTCGCAGGCTTGCCAAGTCCTAATCTATTATAGCGCAAGTCGGTGGTCAATGATTGAGCAGAGGTGGATGGGACGAGCTGCATCATGCGGCTCAAACCCTTCTCGGAAGTCTTGGCTGGTGGTGATGACAGAAGAGAGAGAGCACGCTCGGAGGCAACAACTCTGTTTAAGCCACTGGAAAAGGATCTAGCATTGTTACCATCACCACCAGTTCCGGTAGCGGAATTGGGGTCAAGGACAGGCTTACATATCGAAGCTCCGAGAAGTGCGGCACCAGTTCCTTGCAAGAAGGGAAATTGTATAGGCCCTTTGCAGTGAGATGAGGTTGATCCGGCGAAGGAGAGATTTCGGTCATTGAAGTTAACGAGTTGAGGCGTGTTGTAAGAAGTGCTGTCATCCTCTACTTTGACAACTCCAGGCCAAGAGCAGCTTGCTAAAGCACTAGCTGGAAACATCTGCGGACCACTGAAAGGCGAAAATCTGGCACCTAGAATAGGTGTGTGCACGCATTAGTTTTAAAATTTATTAAGCTGAGGAATGCGAAAGAAAGATGGACAAAGATCTTGTCTTTTAAAATTGGGATAAAAAGAGAAGTTGTGGACCATGGTTAAGGACTTTGAACCTTGGTGGCTGGGGAGGAACCGGCCAGTAGTCAGGGACAAGGGGTCGGGCTGAGGCTTCCTCCTACGCCTGTTGTGACCATCAAGACGTTTCCTGCAGCTTCGCTTCACATCATCGAACTCCGCTAATGAATGAAACCTGTCCAAAAGAGTTCAACACATAGGAGGTTCGTTTATTGTAGCGCACACTTCATATACATGGTTATGGCTGTTTTAAGAGAAAGTCAGAAATAGCTCAAGTAAAAGATACATGCACTGATTCGAAAAACAGGCATGATGCATAGCAGAAAGCCCAAAAAAAGGAAGTACCGCAAGAAATGAATACTTTTCTAGGAGACATTGCTTTTACGTATATAGCTGTTTCTGATGGCAAGTAGCTTTGTGCTCAGAAATCGTTAGCCACTGGAAGACAGTTTCAAGAAGTTGACTCGAAATGCATCACGCATTTTGATTTTCTAATTAAATGCTTAATGGCCAACAAACCATTTGTACATCCTGAACAGGTCACCAGTTTGAGCTCAGTTCAAATGTGAAACAAAAGGCATGTCAATGTCTGATTTCTAGGTCAATCATGCCATTCCACTTGAATACTTGATAGTAAAGCTGAAGATGTGATACCAGGGCATGATGAAACCTGTCGAATAATGAAGGAAACAAGAGCAATATAGCTGATTGAAAGAGTGACCAATGCAAGTTGAATGGACAAAATTTTCCATTTCACAAGCTAATGCTAAAAGAAAGGCAGTCAATTAACCAAATAGGAATTGAATTGAGTGTTCCTTAGACACTGATTAATCCTCACCTGCTGCACTGCTGGCAGAACCGTTGTTCCTGACCCCTAATGATAACCTTAGGGGTTTTCGAGTGTAGCTCACACACTTTGTGCCGGCGATGATAGTCTCTGCACTTACTAAGGTCAGACTCACATCCATCAACCAAGCAAGAAGCAACTTGGCTACCAAAACCAGGAGGTCGAGCCCGCTTTAACGATCCATTTGATGACGAATCCATCAAAGAAGCTCAAAATTGTCCCGCTTCTCCTGAGATTTCTCCTCCAAACTCCCTCAATCCTGAGCTTCAAGTCCACAAGGCAATCCTCCCCTCTGTTATGTAGCTCCACGCGGCACGACCCTAAAACTGAACCAATCCGTTAAAATCCTTCTTTGTCTTCAATCTAGTCCCAACTCCAAGGAGCTGTGAGGTTGTAGTCCATAAAATTTCCTTCTCTGTTTCTACTTTTTTCTTCCCCTTACTTGAACTCTGTCTCATCCTATCATCCATGGATTATGATGTGCTTCAGCCCAAATAACCAGACCAAAAGCTACAAGTCTACTTAACAGTAAACATTTAGCTCCATATTATGCTCACAGAAGAAAGAAGGACATGGCAAGAGAGTTAAACCGTTTCCATCATATCAGTAAGTAAGATGTTAAAATTTTCTTTTCACACATCAGATGTGTACTGCGACATTTGTTACTTGTAAACTATCATGTGTATACAAAACATAACGTTTTCCGCCAGATGCAGGCAAAACTGTTGAGTCTGTGGAGTTTAAAGATTCAAAACTGTCTTTACCAGATGCATCCATGCTCAAGAAATTTTAGACCAAAGAGAAAAGTTCCATAAGGAGAGAGTGGTCTGCTCAAGAATCTACACTTCTCATCTCCTAGAACATAAAATCTTGATTCATCAAACATGATTATTTAAGATACACACAATGGGGGCATGTTACGCGTGGACAGTTTTCTAATCATATCAAAATCACTGGCTCCAGGAAAAGGTTAACTTTACACAATTCACAATGATTTGCAGCACACTAAGTCCAATATCGACAATAACCGTGCAGCTACAGAATTCAAGATCAATTTCGAAATCAGACTTCCGTGCATTCTCTTCAAAAGAATAAATTTAACACAAACATAGAGAGGCACACTATACCCAATTGTGCACTGACATGTTGAATTGCAGTACAGACCCAGTTAAAAAAAAATCATAAGACGGCTATGCAGCAAAAGAAAAATAAAAACGACAAGTAACCTTCACAAATAAAGCTCCAGAAAAGGTGGAATCCCGGGCACCTGAGAAATCCCAAGAATCAAGGTCCCAAGAACTGCAGAGACATCTTGGTCACTTGCGACCTGCCTAACAGCAGGAAAAACCTCAAAAGTCAGAGAGACTGCGAGTTGAGGACCAATTAAGCAGTAAATTCAGAGGCTGACATACATGAGGATGGGAACGATAAAAAATAAGTGCGAAAAATTGAAAGAAGAAGATGACCTTCATTTCACAGCCACGAGTGCTTCCAAACCCAACAACGGTTTGCACTATGAGGCACCAGAGAGAGAGAGACCGGTTTCTATAGTGGAAATTATTGAGAGGCGCAACAGAGAAATGGATAATGTGTCCAAATTTGGTTGAGACAGTGGGTGTGAGTGTGTCAGCCTCAGAGAGAGAGAGAGGAAATCGGAACGAAAGGGTCAAGAAGCAAGAGAGCGTCGCGAGCCTCCTCTTCCTTTTTGATCTGGTAGCCTCACCTCCCAGAGAAGTATGCAAAAACAATCCAAGGAGAGAGAGAGAGAGAGAGAGATGAAATAATAATAACAAAAGCCCGAGAACGAGTGGCCGGGAAAGGGACAGGGTGTAGTTACTTTCAACTTTTCAAGTATTGTGTTCGAGGGCATGATAAAAGTACACACAGAGAGAGAAAGAGAGAGATAACAATGGGGTTCTTTTGTGTTGTTTCACAAAAGTACACACAGAGGAAGAGAGAGAGAGAGAGAAAGGAGTCCACGATGGAGTTCTCTTGTGTCGTTTCCCGTTCCCTCCATCCTCCTGCCTTGCTGGGCTCCATCACGAGGGAGATCGATAGAGGGAGATCCCTGTTGTTGCAGTCCGACTTCTTCTTCTTCTTCTTCTTCTTTCTTTAATAAAAAAAAATTCCCTTCCTTCATATTAAACTTCCTCTCCACAGGAATTTAAATCTGCTTAAAACTAAGCATGGTCCCTCGGTCCTCTCGACTCCAGTCTTGATGAATGGGGGTAAGCAAAACCCGTTTAGGACTATGCCCTGAATTTCTTATTCCCTAGTTGGAGAAGTAGCCAATTAGGGCCGTTTGGCAACGTGCCAAACAGTGAAAATTTCTATTCTTTTGTTCCCAGAAATAGTTTGGGAACAGAAATGCGTTTGGTAAACTTTTTTGTTTCCGGGCACATTTTTTCAAAAATTTGTGCCGAGAAAGTTTTGGAAGAGAAACAAGAAGTAAAAAAAGTTGCTTCTTGTTTTTTAAGCACAATTTTGAGAATCAGTTTTTTTTTTTCTTTTTCTTTTTTTTCTTTTCTTATTTTTGTGTTGTTCTTCCCTGGGCTAGGCCAACCGCCGGCGACCGGCCACAGCCCAGGGCTGGCGAGGGCGAGGTCGAGCCTCGCCGTCGGTCGTGACGGCGAGGTCGGCCTCGCCCAGACACGGCGAGGCTCGGCGAGGCCGAGCCTCGCCGTCTCCGGGCGAGGCCGACCTCGTCGTCGCGACCGACGGCAGGCCGAGCCTCGCCCGGCGGCGAGGGTCCGGCTTCGCCCTTGCCGGCGAGGGCGACCCTCGCCTCCGCCGGCGGCCGGCGAGGGCCGTGACGCCCTCGCCGGCCTTGGGCGTGGCCGGTCGCCGGCCCCCCGGTTGCCGGCGACCTGCCCTGGCCAAAGAAGAAAATGGTAGAAAGAAAAAAAAAATTTAACAATTCAAAATATTATTAAAATATTATTTGGGAACACAAATTTTGTGTAGTTACCAAACGCATTTCTGTTCTTTTCTACTCTAGGAATAGAAATTTTGGACAGTTTATCAAAATCCTTCAAATACTCAGAAATTGTTTCCGGGCACAGAATAAAAAAAAATCATTTCCGTTCAGAAATAGTTTCCGGGCACAGAATGGTATTCATACGTACCCTTAGCCCTGGGCAGTCAGGTTTTGGAGTGTTCATTCTAGAGGGGAAGAAAGTGGTCATATCGACTTAAGGCACGGACGGACGGCACCTAATGCACATACAACCCTCTTTTCCTCATTGTTTGTTTGTTAAACCTCTTTTCTCGCGTTAACTATAAAAAAAAAAAAATACTAATCCGACCTTTCGAAATTGCGACGAAATTTCTTTGAATAATATATGCTTCAATGTTATGAGGCCCCTTTATTTTTTTCAAGTTTTCGTTTCTGGCAAAAATGCGCCTTGAACTTTCTTGCCAAAATGAAAAAAAAGAAAACATATTCTGGTTTTACAAACTATAGCAATAGATAACCTTACATATCCCCTCGTACGCATTTTGAACAAGCCCAAGATGCTCTGGAACCAATTTGAGTCCAATTCTTTAAGAAAAAATTAGAAGAAGTTGAACGTGAAAGTCATTCTGCGTAAGATAATTCTCCATTTCTTACGCTCATCCTAACTTTGAAGTGGACGTTTCTACTTGAAAAGAAAAAAAAAACAAGAAATGAACTTGACCCCAGAGGAACAACTGTGTCGGTCGAAGTACTATGCACAATAAATACGCTGTTAATTTTTCATCAAACTGACCAGGCATCGATGTTTTTTAGGGCCCGTTTGATAACGTGCCAAATATTGAAAATTTCTGTTCTTTTGTTCCCAGAAATAGTTTGGGAACATAAATACGTTTGGTAAAATTTTTGTTCCTGGGCACATTTTTGCAAAAATTTGTGCCGAGAAACAGTTTTGTAAGAGAAACAAGAAGTAAAAAAAAGTTGCTTTTTGTTTCTCGGCACAATTTTGAGAATCAGTTTTTTTTCTTCTTTTTCTTTTTTTTCTTTTCTTATTTTGTGGTGTTATTCTTCCCTGGCTGAGCCGGCCGTCAGCGACCGGCCCTGGGCTGTGGCCGGTCGCCGGCGACCGGCCATGGCCAAGAAAAAAATGGGTAAAAAGAAAAAAAAAATTAAACAATTTAAAATATTATTAAAATATTATTTGGGAACAGAAATTTTGTGTAGTTATCAAACACATTTCTGTTCTTTTCTACTCTAGGAATAGAAATTTTGGACAGTTTATCAAACGCCTTCAAATACTTAGAAATTGTTTCCGGGCATAGAATAAAAAAAAATCATTTCTGTTCAGAAATAGCGTCCGGGCACAGAATGGTATTCATGCGCACCCTTACTGGCCAAAGAAAAGCTGCGATATGTAAATGTTTTTTTTTTAAACAGTTATTTCGACAAGAAACGTGTATATCAACAATACACTCCTCGTAAAAGTAGTTCCCTTTCCCAAAATACCGTGCGACGCCCCGTCTTAAATGAGACCAACTTTCGACCCAAAAAAAAATAAAAAAATGAGACCAACCAACCCGCGACCCTTCCTCCCCATCAATTCCACTCCTTTTGCCGGACGTAACCACGCTTCACTTCCGTCCTGACAGAGATGAAATCGTGGTGTTCAAGATTCAAGACAAGGCCTGGCCAGTGGGGATCAAAAGTAGTTAAGGATATGTGGATGGCGTTGGAGGACATCGAGGTTTCAAACTCCTCCTAGGATTCAAAGGAGACGGGAGTGTGGGTCTGAATCAGAACTGTCTGATAATATGTGCCCCACAAAAGATTAGCCTGTGCTTAAATGCCAACCTTTCGCTTTTTTGGATTGAGTGTGTGCAAGAACACCGCTTCAAAGCCAATTTACCAGGATCATCATGTTCGAAGCCACATCTAATTTCTGTTCACAGGAAAATCCGTCGTGAAAACGACCGCTTGAGAGCTTCCCCATGGAGTAACACCATCGATTTTCTCTAGCCGACCAACATTTTCCATCTTGCAAGTCTTTATCGGTCAAATATACTATTCATATCTCAAAGTGAAATTCGAATTCATATTAAATGACTTAACTTTTCGTACCGGAGCTTTGCTTCGCTTTTCGCATTTTAAGCATCTAACAACTTTAGCTATGAACTTCACACGGGCTCTGGGGAGAGGTAAAGTATAATGCATAGTGAAAAATTGAACCGAGCATGAGAGAAAAAAAAATCCCTGTCAATCATATATCCAACCTTTTTGATGGGGTCACGCCATAAAGGGGAAAAGATAGAAGACTCGCAGAATATAAACTCCAGGCACACAGGGCATAGAAGTGGCAATTGCATGGCCACTATGAGCAGCATAGTGGAGGTGTGTCGTGGAGGATGATGCATCATCAGCATAGTGGAGGTGTGTCCGGGGGGAGGTGGGGGGGGGCGGGGCGCGGTGGGGGGGTGGCGCGGGCGGGGACGGGGGACGGGGGGACCTCACGAAATGTTCATTCTCAAACTTTCATTACAAGAGCACGAGCAACCAAAAATCATTTTCGAGAGACGTAACCATCATTTCCCATCTTAAGCAAAAAGGTTTGCCTTCTAGGTTTGGCCGTCTCCCAAACTTGTTAGTTTCGGATTTGTCTCCTCTTTAGTTTTAGTATTGTAGGTGGGGGCGGCTTCGAACTTCATTGCGGAAGGACGGAGCCATAAATTCCCAAACCCCACGAGAAAGAGAAACAACACTTTGGTACGACGGGAGATAATGATAGCGCTAGCAAATCTAACTAGTTGAATAAGAACCCGAGGAACTACGGGTGTCGGAATGCATACAATGAACTCAAATTTCAAACTACAATGAACTCAAATTTCAACTGTGAGCTCTGGACAGGGATTATGCGGCCACCTAATCTCAGATTAAAATAAGCCGAGCAAAGCATTATTGGGGAACTGCAGCCACGTATCTTGGGGCATCATCATGGGGGATGCAAATTGCATTAGCCAACAAAAATGGAAACTTGGGTAATGGTCCAGCGAGGCATAGCTTTTGCAGACTCCTAGGTACTGCTTTTGATCTCAGTAGACTAGGCTTTTATTAATTCGAGCGATTAAGTAAGGTAAGGTAAGGTAAAGGAGGAGGAAGGAGGGGGTTGAGCATTCGAGCACCAAGTCAGTCCCCTCCAACTAAAAAGCAGTTGGATGTCACTTCACCTTTACGCCTTCACTAGAGAATCATGTAATTTTTTTTGTGACTTAGTTATCTATCCTTGGAAATGCACGGGCATGCGCCATGATCCTGACATCGTTTTTCATGGAAATAAGGGCATTTTACAAACGGTGCGTGCTGCAAAATTCTGAACATTGGTAGTGAAAAATGGGTCAACGAAACGGAAAAGGGCAAAAACATCGACACCAGTGGAGACTAATGATGCAATATCGTCTCCAGTTGCACTGGACAACTTGGTATCAAAGCTAATGTTAAATGGGTTCTGTCACAAAGGCATTGTCTTTCCTCCTTGCTAACTCCTTTTGCAAAAGTAGACGACTAGGTCGCCGTGGACACGCAACTAGTCTCTCCAGAGCTCACGTTATCCCACCATGTAGTGACTGAATCACCATTCACTCCTATCACCATACATTAAATAAATTTATAATAACATTAGAGGTACTAAAGTTGATTAACTCAAATTTGGTCATTTTTCATTGAGTGCCTAAAAGCAATTAGTGATTTCACTTCCAATCTGTTTCATTACTTTATAAATCAACTTAATATATCGATCTCGACGTTCTTAGCATTGTTGAATTAGCAACACATAAATAAAGATTTCAAAACTTAAAAATTGTTTCACTTCATGAGGCATAAGGTCTACCTCACCATCCCGTCTACATTCTTTGAGATAAGTTTCCTAGAGCTACTACGTGGTCTCTTTGCCCGACAGATTCCTTGTCTTTGCTTTCTGGTGCCTCTTTGCCATTCAAAATATAAAGACGAAAACAACGTTTCGGTTTTATCATTAGTCTGGCATAGAGGGGCACCTAGTTTTGGAGGCACTTATATGACGTGCTATAGAGGCAATGACCAAACTATATAGTTAAACCACAACTTCACTCACGTACCAAATCCATCGGTTTTCCGTAACTTTTTAGCGAAATAACTCATAAATCAATCATGCGATGTTCCCACACTTCACTAAAATAGTCAAGTGACCCATTTCATCAGACAGCTCATGCTTATTTGGAAGTTCTGAAATTCGAAACAACTCCCCGTCAGATCTAATCTTTTACTTATATTGGCAAAGTCCATTTCGCGACAGACCTCCGAATTTGGGGGTCGTCAATCTAATTTGCCATTTTTATTGGGTAGAGTTCATTTCCAAGACATGTAACTCCAAATCTTCGGCGTTGCCGTTCGAAGCTTTCCCGTAAATAATTCACACTTCTTTTTTTTTTTTGTTACTGGCCGTAAAATAATTTATATATGGGGGGAGGTTTCGTGGGAACATCGCCGAGCCCTGTCAAACAGCTTCTTCACAGTGCAATGCTCGGAGAAGTTACCTCGAAAGGTCCGTGGGAACTGGAAACGATAAGATGGGAAAAGGGCTGGCTTGGTCAAGGGAATCTCGGGCTCTAAGCTGAGATTAATCAAATAATAGAACTCGACCAAAACCAAAGAGGAATTGAATAACCATTCTATACATAAAATAAATAAATTAGGCATTAGGCCAAGCTGTAGTTGGGTCTGCTTTGTCAAGATCCTCGGAACTCTCAAAAGGGTTTTCTATTTAAGTTGGCTACTTTCCAAAATTAAACCTCAAAGAACCCCAATTTGACATAAAAAGAATAATATATACATGGTCGCCCGGAACATCCGCCAAAAAACCTCAGACCAGAAATTCCCAGCATCTACACAGAATCTTCAATCTTTACCTAATATAAAAAATTTCGAGTGATACAGCTACACGAATGCTCTCGTGTATTATTATTTAAACAGGAACCCAAAAAGAAAAAAAAAAACCATCACGGCATAATTTTTTAATCAGGCCCATGTGCATTGTAATGATTTCATGCTCAAGACTAAGGAGTGCTCATCCGATCATGCATTAAAAAAGTACGGCAAAAGCAAAAGAATGCATAGTCTGTGGTATGAACCTTTAGCATAATGAATTGATTTCGCCGAGGAATAAAGTTTTGATGCATAACGTAACGTCACGGTGACACACAACTTGGGCAGCTTAAGCATTATAGTGGCACTTTGTGGGCTCGGACAAGAAGCGGCACCAAGAGACTACGGATTTTCCTAGTACGAATCATTATTGTTAACTGTTTTATCAGCTCCCAACGAGGCATGGCCAAGCTTTAATCCCAAAAATGCAGTCCATAAACCAAGTCCTCTCATCTTCTAATCTACCTGAGACCCCCGCTCTTGTCCCTCGCGTAGCAGTTCATGTACGTAAGAACGCAGACAAAGAAGCTGAGCATAAAATAAGGTTTGCTAAATTGCTATCAGTGGAGTGCACCTGTTTTCAACTAACCATTTGTCAGTCCAACCGATGCAACTGCATTAACCTGAACCACAAAGAAAAACGGTTGTTAACTTAAGAGATGGTCCAGTCATTGTAGTAAGGCAAGGAGCTCCCTGTACTAAAATTTTCGGCAAAAGTACACCACAAGTGCCATAACTTATGTACGGCGATCACTTTGGTGCCATAACTTTTTTTCGGATCACTTTGGTGCCAAGTCGGAGGAAAATCGATCACTTTAGTGACTCCGGTCAAAAAGCTGACATGGCATTTATATTAAAAAAAAATGGTCTGATTTGTACACGGTGAAAATTACGTGGCTTTTTTTCGAATTTTTAGAAAAATAATAATAATTAAAAAAAACAAAAAGGTGTTGCGGCGGCGGCGAGGAGCCCTCGCCGGCTGCTCTCAGCCACCACCGCCGGGAAGGGCCGGCGGTGGTGGGCGTAGTGGTCGGCGAGGGTCGCCGCCCTTGGCCGGGCCGCGACCCTCGCCTCGCCTCGCCGGCGAGGCGAGACCTCGCCGTTGCACGGGTCGCGACGGCGAGGCCCCGCCTCACCTTCGGCCGGGCAAGGCCGCGCCTCGCCGTCGCGACCCGGGCGACGGTGAGGTCCGCCTCGCCCGGCGAAGGCGAGGCGACTCGCCGTCGCCGGGTCGCGACGGCGAGGCGTGGCCTCGCCTTCGGCCAGGCAAGGCGGGACCTCGCCATTGCCTATGTCGCGACGGCGAGTCCGCCTCGCCCGGCGAAGGCGAGGCCAACCTCGCCGTCGCTGGGTCGCGACGGTGAGGCACGGCCTCGCCTTTCTTGCCGGGCGAGGCGAGACCTCGCCGTCGCGACCAGTGACGGCGAGGTCTCGCCTCGCCGGATCCGGCCCTCGCCGGGCGAGGGGAGGGTCGCCGGGGGTCGGCGAGGGTTGTTGGGCCAGGGGCCGGCGACCCTCGCCCACCACCGCCGGCCCTTCCCGGCGGTTGTGGCTTGGCGGCAGCAGCAGCGAAGGCTCCCTCGCCGCTGCTGCAGGGTTTTTTTTTTTTTTAATTAATTTAATATAATATAATATTTTAAAAAAATACACGTCAGCGGGCTAAACGGCGTCGTTTTTGGTTTTTAATGCTGACTGGACCTTTCCGGCCAGCTGTGTCAGCGCCACTTCAGATTTTCGGCGAGCCACGTCAGTATTGGCACTAAAGTGATCGATTTTCAAAAAAGTTGGCACCAAAGTGATCCGAAAAAAAGTTATGGCACTAAAGTGATCGCCGTACACAAGTTATGGCACTTGTGATATACTTTTGCCTAAAATTTTTTCACTCTTAACGTCTCACATCTCATATCTGACTTACACTTAACATAATACGCGTGAACCAACTTTATTTGGAAGCTGAACGACCGATGGTTCATTCTTCATTGATTTTCGCTTTTCAACGGAAAAATTGCTTGCTGTTGCACAATAGACAAATTGGCACTAGGGGTGATCGGTTCCAGGGTGGGTTGGGTCCGGACCTAGAACCTGAAACCAACCCTGTTATAACCGGTTCCCAATTTTTGGAACCCGAAACCAACCCTGTTTTGGAACCAACCCTGTTTTTCCAGTCCGGTTTCAAGGTCTACCCGAGAACCTTTTTTTTTTTGTTCCTTTTTCCGATTTTATTTTTTTCTAGCAAAATAATATAGGTAGCAATGAAACGATTTAAAATAAAAGATAAATAACAAAAACCACTATCCGCCAAAAGTAACAATCCCCAAAATGAGCAATTGAAATTACAATCCATCAAAATCAACAATCCAAAAGCACTATGTGGCAAGACATAGTCCAATCGCATAAATCTTTAAGAGTCACATTTCCAGGGAATTTATTCAACATGTTTAGCTCTTTATTTTGCGCCATGATGAGATAACTCCTCACTTCTGTTTCCGAATGAAATATCTTGAAAGAAAAATCAAGAGACTTAGCGGTAAGGCATCTGCTCTCACTAGAAAAATGTCTATATATCTCATCTGAATCACACAATATTTAGATGACTTTAAGGGCCGTGTTATTTCGCTCATAGTTGTGAAACATATTCCAATATTAAACCGGAAATCGGTTCTAAAACCGGTGAAGTAGGGTAACGTGATATAGACTTTTTACTTTTTTGTACATTATCTCAAAACCGGTTCTAAAACCGGTTCTAAAACAGGTTTGGGTTGGTTTTTACTTGGAACCGGAAATCGGACCGGTTCTAACCGGTTCCCAAAAAATGGAACCGGTACTCGGACCGGTTCTTGTTAGAACCGGTTCCCGGACCTGTTTTTCGGGTGGGTTGGTCCGGTTTCCGGGTAAACCCGGTCCGGTTGCACACCCCTAATTGGCACCTCTTACATTCATTAATATGTTAAAAAAAAGAAGAAGCAAACTTGGCGGTTTTCAGAGCGGAGTTGAATTCAGGCAACATTACACCCGGGAGAAAAGGAAAAGTTGGAGTTCAAATGCTCCGACACCTAGTAAAAAATTCACGGTGTCCCTAGTTTCATTCACTTCACATAAACCCATATAAAGGTCACATTCAGCTGTCAAATAGTCCCTTCAATCTCTCGTACACAAGAATATGCTATAAAATAACTCAGAGAACACATATTTTCTAACGTACTATTCCATAAAGGTAAGTTCAGACCCGAGAAAGCATCAACCTGCAAGGGGGCTTGTATGGTCGAGTGATCCAATCATAAAATTAAATCACTCGCTGTTAAAAAATATTACAATCAATCGGCACCATCCATCTTTGAAACTGTTGATCATGTTGGTCGTTGATCTTAGCAAAAGCTGCTTATGCTTAGTAAACAAATAATCAATAAGGTAAACGAATCTCATTCGTGGTTAATATTTCAGGTGTAGTAAGTACAAATATTGAATTAAAACGTATAATTGTTAGCAATAGCTAATATTGACAAAAACTAATCAAGTCCACTAAAAAACGGTTAATGAACGCACTGAGCAAAGTCAAAAGAAAGATAAATAACATACAAAACAAGAAGTTTTTCTAAAAGAAAACACAGAAAGAAAAATTTTTAAATTGAAAATAGAAAAAAGAAACAAAAAGGAAAGTGGCTAGGTAGTGGAAGCCAACCGCATCGACCCTATGGAGCAATGCCGACCCTCGCATGTCGCTAGAGAGGACAGTGCGACCCTCACCAACTATCGGCGAGGATTGCCTTGCCTCAGATCTATCAAGGGTCGTGCGACCCTCGTCGGTTGGAGAGGTTCGTGCTGCTCTCTCCAACAACAGGTGAGGCTGCAAAAGGTGTTGGAGGACCTACTGTTAGCGATCGGAGAGGTTCGAGCCACCTCTCCCTCCACTTTTTTAATTTTATTTTTTCTCAATATAATGTGGTGTAAATTATGCATATGCTTATTAGGTGAAATGATTATTTAATTAATGTTTTAGTTGAAATGAAAAAGTTTACTAAGAACAAATATGATTTACGTGAATAAGGTTGACTACCGGTTGGCCAAAAAAAGGTTCACTATTGACAATTCTTTATTAGTTGAAATTGTCTAGTACAATGAGATAATTTACCAGGATCAAGTAATATTTACTAGGGTTAATACCACGAAAAACTCTAAACTGGTACACTTGTGACACATTTACCCCAAACTAGTTTTTTGACCATAATAAAACCCAAACCGGTACACCTGTGACAATTTTACTCCGAACATACCACAAAAAACTCCAAACTGGTACATATGTGACAATTTTACCCAGAACTAATTTTTAATATTATTTTTTTTTTTGAATTTTTTCTTTTTTCTTTTCTTTTCTTTTCTTTTTTTTTCCTTCACCTTCAACCTCTGGCCGGTCCGGCGACCGGCCAGAGGCGGAAGCCGGCGAGGGCCGCCCTCGCCGGTATCGAGCGAGGGCTGCCCTCGCCGGTGTCGGGCGAGGGGGCCCCGCCCGACGCCGGATTTGGCGAGGGAGACCCTCGCCTGCGTCGGGCGAGGGCCGTCCTCGCCAGCCCAGGGCAAAGGCGACCCCTCGCCCGACTCAGGCGAGGGCGGCCCTCGCCCGACACAAGCGAGGGTCCCCCTTGCCAGATCCGGCGTCAGGCGAGGGCCGCCCGACTCCAGCGAGGGTGGCCCTCACCAGATCCGGCGAGGGCAGCCCTCGCCCAATCCCGGCGAGGGCCGCCCTCGCCTGAGTCGGGTGAGGGTCGCCCTTGCCCTGGGCGGGCGATGACGGCCCTCGCCCGACGCCAGCAAGGGCGGCCCTCGCCCAACGCCGGCGAGGGCAGCCCTCGCCGGCTTCCGCCTCTGGCCGGTCGCCGGACCGGCAACTGGCCAAAGTTTGAAGATGAAAAAAAAAGAAAAGAAAAAAGAAAAAAATAAATAAATATTCGAAAAAAAATAAAAAAATTAAAATTAAAATTTTAATTCGTGGTAAAATTGTCATATATGTACCAGTTTGGGGGTTTTTTGTGATAAATTCAGGGTAAAATTGTCACAGGTGTACCAGTTTGGGATTTTTGGTGGTAAAAAAAATAGTTCAGGGTAAAATTATTACATGTGTATCAGTTTGGGATTTTTTATAGTCAAAAAAATAGTTTGGGGTAAATGTGTCACAAGTGTACCAGTTTAGGGTTTTTCGTGGTATTAACCCTATTTACTATAAACAACCAATTTTTCCCAACAGATAGACTATTTTACTCTTCATTAAAATGATATACCACAAAATAGATGAAGTAACTGAATGACGACACTTTACTACACACACAATTATTTTACTTTTGCAAGACAAAGATTTAGGCTCCGTTCGTTTGGCGGAAAATATTCTCCTTTTGGAAAATATTTTCCCGGAAGTCATTTTCCTGGAAAATGTTTTCCCGGAACATAATTTTCCGATGTTCGGCGACCAATATGAAAAAGTTTCGGAAAATATTTTCCGGTGTTCGGCGGCCAGCGGCGGCGGCGGCCGGCGTCCGGCGGCCGGCGTCCGGCGGCCGGCGGTGGCGGCAATGGCGGCCGGCGACCGGCGGCGGCGGCGGCCGGCGACCTTAGTGAAGAAGAAGAAGAAGAAGCTCCGGAAAATGATTTTTGCTTTTGAAGAAGCGGAAATCATTTTCCGTAGACTTAGGCTATTTTGTGAGGGGGGAAGGAAAATATTTTCCCACGGAAAACGTTTTCCGCCCCCCGAACACCGGAAAACCCGGAAATATTTTCCGGGAGAATATTTTCCGCCAAACGAACGGAGCCTTTAGTGAAATGATCTACTCTACCTTTGATTAATGCGATTCAGCACAAACAAACTTTTGACCAATTACCCGAAACAATTGAACTGGCGTTACCGTGAGTTCACCATGACCAAGCCCCACATTTTGAAATCTTGTTTTAAGTGCATTCGGATTCCCAAGACAAATCAAACTTAGATGTCGCCTGGTTTTAATAGTGGGCAAAGGTACAAATTGACCGACTCTAGATGAACTCCTGCCCAGATGAGGGCAGATCATCCATACCTAACAAACTAGAAGAACTTTAGCTCTAGTGCAGTGGAGCACCCATTTGGGGACTAAGCATATCCAAATTATGGGCTAAAACAGTAGAAACAGGTCTGAGCATTTGCATCTGTGAGCGCACACATGTTAAGACGGGATATCTATGCAGTATCAAGCATTCTGAACTTCCAAGTAGTGCCATGGAACCCCTGCAGCACATTGTCTAGATTCTACAATTGACTTAACAAAACATTAACAGAGGCTAAGATTAGATGTTTGTCGGGTTCTTTAGCCTCACCTTTGTGCCCAGCATTCTGGGAGGGCACCGAAACCCAAACATGCTTACTCTTTCCAGAGTTAGGTATTTCAAATGAAATACGGAGCAAAATGTCTCCCAGATCCATGATGCAATTTCCGTTGCGCATACCAGGACGTGCTAGGCGAAACATTGACTGATCACATAAGCCTTGTTTTCACATATCAGGGAAAAGATGGGTGATAGGATACGAGAAAGTGCCCGAGAAAAATGGAGTATGCACTAACACCAAGCATAACTATTACGCTAACCGGTGTGTACTCCTGCGTATCAAGATAAGAAGGTAAAACTGACCCAGCCCAAGTTGTATCATTTAGTTCAAGTGCGGATCCCGTCACTTCACAGAGCCTCTATCAAACCGACCAATGTTGATACATCTCGAGCGACAGTACCTCGTCTTATGACGGCGATGATGCTTTCCCCTTACTAAAAGGATTTCAACCAAGGAAAAAGACGCAAACGAATGGTACGCCAAGATTCAAAGCTCGTTCGGGAGATCAGAATCTCCGAACGACTCTTCCGAAAGACATCGCGCCGATCACTGAATTAGGTTTTGATTTCAGTCGCAGGAATAGGGGCATCAGACCTCGCGCTCACTCGACATCAATCTAGTTAAGTCGAAAGGTAGGAATACGAAGATCATAGCTAGACAGAGAATTTCCAGCTCAAGCAGAAGCAACGACGGAGCAACGTCTATACCTGGTCATGTAATTGCGGTTACCAGAGAAAGCCGGCGACACGCGGAGCACCGACGGAGAAATCGGCCTTTTCTCCCATCTGTGAACGAATCGATCGATCGACGGTCACCAGTTTTAAGGGGAACAAGCGACGCCGCATTCTGATCAGAAATCTGCAAGAAGCAACGAGAGAGATCGAGGAAGAACCTGGAGGAGGAGGCGATCTTCCAGAGGGGAAAGGGGCTCCACATCGTCGAGCCTGATGAGCTCCTCGTTTTTCGGTGGAGATTGGAATGGAAGGTGAAGCAATGCTCGAAAGGACGGTGTTTGGCGTTTCTGAGTGCGTACAACCAAAAAGGGGCAACTGAGATGCCAAAAAAGGCGGGAAAGTTTCGGCCCGCAAAATAGTTTTTAGGGAAAAAAACTACCAAAAATCACAAATTATATTTATTGTGATATATTTGCTCCAAACTTTTTTTTATGACATAAAAAATCTCAAATTATGCACGTTGTGACACATTTACCTTCCGTTAGGGTTCTGTTAAAAATTTCTGTTAAAACTCTGACATGGCGCTCGGTTGACGCCACGTCAGAAAAAAAAAAATTTAAAATTCAAAAAAAGTCATTGTTCATTGCGAGTTACTGTTCATTATCTTCTCGCTCGGCCAGAGCTCGTCCGTCGATGCCCATTGCCGCTTGGACCTCCGGGAGCTTCGTCGTAGCTACCGACCATAGCAGCTGACAGCTCGAAGCTTGGCCATGGCCGCACGGCTCGAGCTCGAAGCTTGGCCGAAGTCGATCTTCGCCTGGACCTCCGGGAGCTTCGTCGTAGCTACCAACCATAGCAGCTGCCAGCTCGAAGCTTGGCCGAAGTAGATCTTCGCCTGGACCTCTGGGAGCTTCGTCGTAGCTGCCGACCATGGTAGCCGCAAGCTCGAAGCTTGGCCATGGCCGCTCGGCTCGAGCTCGAAGCTTTGCCAAAGTGGATCTTCGCCTGGACCTCCGGGAGCTTCATCGTAGCTGCTAACCATGGCGGCCGCAAGCTCGAAGCTTGGCCATGGCCGCTCGGCTCGAGCTCGAAGCTTGGCCGAAGTGGATCTTCGCCTGGACCTCCGGGAGCTTCGTCGTAGCTGCCGACCATGGCAGCCGCAAGCTCGAAGCTTGGCCATGACCGCTCCGCTCGAGCTCGAAGCTTGGCCGAAGTGGATCTTTGCCTAGACCTCCGGAAGCTTCGTCGTAGCTGCCGACCATGGCAACCGCAAGCTGGAAGCTTGGCCATGGCCGCCTGGCTCGAGCTCGAAGCTTGGCCATGGCGAATGCTCGAGCTTGAAACTTGGCCGAAGTGGATCTTTGCCTGGACCTCCGGGAGCTTCGTCATAGCTGCTGACCATGGCAATCGCGAGCTCGAAGCTTGGCCATGGCCACTCTACTTGAGCTCGAAGCTTGGCCGAAGTGGATCTTTGCCTGAACCTCTGGGAGCTTCGTCATAGCTGCCGACCATGGCGACTACGAGCTCGAAGCTTTGCCATGGCCACTCCGCTCGAGCTCGAAGCTTGGCCAAAGTGGATCTTCGCCTGGACCTCCGGGAGCTTTGTCGTAGCTGCCGACCATGGCAACCGCGAGCTCGAAGCTTGGCCATGACCGCTCCACTCAAGCTTGAAACTTGGCAGAAGTGGATCTTTGCCTAGACCTCCGGAAGCTTCGTCGTAGCTGCCGACCATGGCAGCCACAAGCTGGAAGCTTGGCCATGGCCGCTCAACTCGAGCTCAAAGCTTGGCCATGGCCGCTCCGCTCGAGCTCGAAACTTGGCCAAAGTGGATCCTCGCCTGGACCTCCGGGAGTTTCGTCGTAGCTACTGACCATGGCAGCCGCGAGCTGGAAGCTTGGCCATGGCCGCTCGGCTCGAGCTGGAAGCTTGGCCATGGCCGCTCGGCTTGAGCTCGAAGCTTGGCCATGGCCACTCCGCTCGAGCTCAAAGCTTGGCCGAAGTGGATCTTTACCTAAACCTGTGGGAGCTTCGTCGTAGCTGCCAACCATGGCGACTGCGAGCTCGAAGCTTAGCCATGGCCGCTCCGCTCAAACTCGAAGCTTGGCCGAAGTGGATCTTCGCTTAGACCTCTAGGAGCTTCGTCGTAGCTGCCGACCATGACAGCCGTGAGCTCAAAGCTTGGCCATGACAAAGAAAAGGAAGAGCTCGAGTGGCCGCCATGGCCAGGCTTTGAGCTTGAGCTGAGCGGCCATGGCCAAGCTTCGAGCTCGCGGTTGCCATGGTCGGCAGCTACAACGAAGCTCCATAGGTCTAGGCGGCAGTGGGCAGCGACGGACAAGCTCCGGAAGAGCTTCGGAAGAGCTCTAGCCGAGCAAGAAGACGATGAACAGTAATTTCGAAGACGATGAACAGTAACTCGCGATGAACAGTGACTTTTTATAAAAAAAAATCCTAATGTTGCGCCACGCGAGCGCATGTCAGAGTTATAATGGAAATTTTTAACAGAACCCTAACGGAGGGTAAATGTGTCACAATGTGCATAGTTTGGGATTTTTTGTATCACAAAAAAAAGTTTGGAGTAAATGTGTCACAATGGGTATAGAGTAAATGTGTCACAATGGGTATAGTTTGGAGTTTTTGGTGGTATTTTCCCTAGTTTTTACTGCAGAAGTAATTTGATGTGTTTATTTCACGAAAGATAAATAATTTAGAAAATATTTTTCTAATAACTATCGTTGTATCACTAACAAAAATGAATTAACCACTTTTAATCCATAAAAATATTTAAACATAAATTGTTACGGATAAAAAAAAATATTTTTCATTAATTAATTATTTCAATCGATACATATAATCATTTTTTTTTAAAAATATTTTCATGAATAATTTGATCGTTTTTGTCTCGGCCCAGTTAAGGGTATAGGTCCATTATCTATAATGTGAAAGGTTCCGAGGCAAGATCTGTTCACATGAAACATTAGATTTTTTGCTTAGCATCTCAGGGGAATCGAATACGATCCGAAAAGTTTGCCCAGGTGGAACAACCACTCCGCACCAACCATCATGCGAGTTCCGAGACATCATTAGACAAAGACGTAGCGGAAATATGGAGGTGAGCATCCATGAATTCAGTTCTATACAGATTCTTCGATCACAAGGTCATTGTATTATCAAAAGAATAAATCTAGAGTCCTGGCATGATAGATCGCGGACATGTTCAATCGCCTGTACTTGTAGTCCTGTAAAAACACTAAAAGCACAAGCATAGTGGCAGAAAAGCGAGCTAAATAGATAATCCAAAAGACTAAGGACAGTTTTATTTTTGACTTCTATCTTTTTCGTCCAACTTCCAGCTGGACAGAGACCTATATCCAGAAATATACACGACAAAAATGACCTAAGTAACCATTTTAGCAACCATAGATCACTGCAAAAATTCGGTGCCCAGTCCGTCTTTCAATTAATTTAGTGTGGGGACAACCTATTTAGTCGTACAGCTTCTGGCCACTCGTGCGGCTTAGAAGGCCGCTCAACAAGGCCAGTGTATGACCGCACGAAGAATTCTTTATTTTCGATCCTGATAATGTTATGATTGCTGGGTACTTGAGCGCACTTGCCGAAGAACTGAACTTGTTAAGCTGTGCGTTCTTGTAAGAAAGGAGGCATTTATTCCTGAGATCCTCCTTCCAAATATGCCAGAACTTGAAGACCTGTTGCCGTTCGCATCTTCAGGAACTTGGTTTCCATTTGAACCCTCGGGGGTTCTCGAGGCAACTTCTGAATCTCCTAGACTCTCCTGAAAAGCACAATGACCGACAAACTTGAGTCTCAACAAAGCAATAAGTGAAAAATATAAATCATGGAGGATAAGTGATGGCAAACTCACCATGATGCCAGAGGCAGAGACAGCACTATATAGGGGCCGGAAAACCTGCAAAAGAAAAAAATCCAATCAGAGACATAACAAATTGCAGATTGAGACGCGTTACGAAGGTGCATCTCAAAATCTAGGCACTGACATCCAAAGAACTTGCAACATTATTAACCTCTCTCCTCCACCGCAATTAGAACCCATATACCATCGTAAACAAAGCAACCACTATCCCAATGACAAAATTTCTGCCGAACATAGAGATTTTCAGAGATCCAACAAATTGTAGACCAGCGTAGAGATACTCATTGCTTGATCACTCAATTCATCTACTTTGTATTATTAGCTACTGTTAATGGCAAGTTAACCAACCTGGCGAGATCCATTGGAATTAGATGGTGATGGAGGCAATGAATTAATATGCCCCTGCACAAGTGACATCCAATGAGAACAGGCAGAGGCGAAAACAGAAAGCGCATATGCAAGCTACACGACAACATCTTACAGCGGAAGCAGGTGAAGCAGGGGCCGGCTCAAGAGCAGCTCTAGTCGAAGTGGTCAGTGAAGCCTATAAATTTAGTGAAAACAAGTTGATTAAGCTACTAACAGCTAGACAGAGACAACCAAACTTAAGCAGCTGATTTTAGGATGTCAAAAGTAGCCTAGATTCTAGGCTCATCCCAATGAAAATTTGGGTGGATGCTCTAATAATAAATAATTCCACCCACAATATACCAAAAAGTAAACTAAGTGCATTTTATCTGGCAAGTAAACGAAGGTATAATTGAAATTTGACAAAAATTTACTTTTCGTCCAGTATCGACATATTATAAGAGAGAACAACCAACCGATGAGGGATCTGCAAGCTGAGTTGCACCACAGAATTAATTGCAATGCATACAACCACAGAAATGTCTATTTTCGGGAGAGAACTAAACAATAACAAGGAAAATTGCCAAACTGTGGAGAAAGGAAGGAGTTTAAGCACATACCTGACTACGCTCTGAAGTTCTTCCATTACTCAAACTCGAGGCAAAGGCACACAACTCCAGTACTCCAATGTTTGTAGTGTCCTGTGCAGCAGATAATCCGCCATAGGGATTACAATCTAACAACAAAAAAGATGCAATGCAATAAGAATCAGGGGACTAGCAACTGCAATTACCTGTTTGCCTTCGATTCTGCCAATCTTTGATTCCTGAGACATGAGAGCACAAAGATGGAACAAGTCAGTTACAGAGAACAAGATGATTACACAAAAAGAAAAAGAAAAAGAAAAAGAAAGAGCTCCTATGAGATTATTCACCAGATTCTCTACTGCGCTCCGAACACTTGTAACATTTGCATTAATTGCCTCCATTTCAGCACTTATATCGGATACCTGAAACATTAAAAGTCATTACTAAAATATTTGTGTACTGCATCAGGGGAAGCTGTGTAGGAAGATTAATGTTGAGCTGGATGAGTGGTTACAAGAGTTAGATGAGCAGTTTAGTAGTTCCAAATACGGCCGTGATGAGTCAGTAATCTTGTACAAAAGCTAAGTGAAGTGGAATTCACCAATTAAAGAAATAATTGCAGCGCACCCCGCCCCCCCTCTTTTCTCCTTTTTCTCTCCCTCTGTCTCTCTCGTTTTCTTCTGCTGATGAAGGCACAAGATTCTGAGTTCCAAACTAAAATATGCAGGATCCAAAGCATTGAAAACGACACCGCTAGCAGTCAAATGAAGTATTACATATACGGACTTTTGGAAAACAAAATCAATATTAAGTAAGAAGTTTCTTTCAGCAACCAAAGAGTACTATGTTCTAGATCAAGCTTAATGATTGTGCTTTTGGCCACTACCTAAGATTGAACATACCGTATCTTTTGTTTCAGCAGTAAGCTGGGCAAACTCATCCAAGTTGCAATCCAAGCGATCGATTCTTGAAGATAAATGGCGCTTGGTGGCCTGAAAAAGACCAGGATCAGCAAAAATCAATTACACTATTAGCAAACACCCATCATCTTCTAAAGGTGTAGGAGGAAAGTTACAATCAGCATGTCTACTTTATGAAAGTACTATTTCATAAATCTAAGCAGTCTGGTAATTCTCATTTTCGTTCTCTTTCAGAAAGTTCAAAATCATATACATTTTCCTATCACCACACCCACCTAACCAAAAATCTATGGTTCAAAGAGAGCAGCAAACTTCATGTGTTTTAAACATTTTCTCACAAAAGTTACTCGCAAATTGTCTGCTCCTTACCGAATTCCCAATAACAGAAATCTCTTGTTTCATGTATCATGCATGAATCACGTGTTCATTCACACATCACATGTGAATGAAATATCATCAATCGATATTCAAATCACTCGATGGAAAGAGAATTTCTTCCAAATAGAAGAACTGTTTCTGAAAGCAAGCGCACTAAATGGAAGTACTTAAAGTTTATTTACACTTCCTCACTCCAAACTGTAAAAATATGCACAACATGAACACAAACTGAAGGGGATAGTTTGCTTTTATCAACAATCAACGGTGCATAGCACTAAAAAAAGTTAGAACTATTTTGGCAACCCAGAGCATGATGTGCACATACAGTATGACCTCCAAACATTTTATAGGTACATGTCAATAAGATTGAAGGACAGCATTAAGCTGTCAGGGAATCAATATAATACCGAGATCGATGAATAGACATTTTCAAGTTGTTTAGCAATAGATGTGCAGGCATCTGATAAACTTCGCCTCGTAGCAAACATCAGATCAGGAAGTTTCCACCCCTGTAGAGCATTTTACAGTATGCGTCAGCCTACAATAGAAAAGGTTAAAAATTGTAGAGTCTACCTACCAAGTACTGAGATAGATGCAAAAGGCAAACCTTCCACCAAACATATCCATATCCCACCACAACAACAACTATCACAATACCGTATCTGCTGGTGCCTGCATACAGCAATACAAGTCAAAACCTCCTAAAGTTGTAAAAGAAACAAATAAGTCAATAAAAGCTGCTACGCGACAAAGTTTATGCCGTAGCAGTCTCCACCAAACACACACAAAGAGATTTGACATAGCACGTATAGGCAGCAAACAGATTGTCTAACACAAAAACCTGTTCCAGAAGTAGTTACAATTGTAACTGGCCTACTTGATGCCAATATCTGAAGTTCCTGCCTGAGGCTGTTAACCTGCCAGATACACACAATAAGCAAATATTTGTCAAGAAAAGTCCAACTAGTGCTGAAGTTTCAAGAACCTAAACTAATCAAACAGACAGTCAAAATAAAGTCCCCCATTAACTTGGACATATTTAAATAGATCTAAGTGCTGAAGTTTCCTTGAAACTGTTTTATTTCCTTTTCACAACCATAACAAAATTTTTACGCTCATTTTCACAAACCTTCTAATGGCCTGTTGCGAATTAATTAAATACCAATGGGAAAGGTTTACAATGGCCAAAAAAACAAATAGACAGTTTTAGGGTACCTTTACATAGTCAGAGAAAAAGTACACATAGTACCACTCAAAGATGGTCCCAATAACAACCTTGACAGACACATATAGCAATTATCTCTCAAGTACTTAAGAACAATATGTACAGCGTCAAGTTGAACAGTAAGACATAGATTTTCCAACTTTGTCAAATTACTTCATTACATAATTACAGCATAGCTTTCATATGGCAGCAGTTTGGTGCAAATCCACAAGGAAGCAAAACTTTAATATCCATAGAAGAGTCATGCTATCTAGCATTTTCTTTGGACCAGCTCCTTCAAATAGTTCTGTCAAGACAGATCAGCAAACCCTTATATCTCTTTTTCCAAATTATTGCCATATGTAAACATAAGAAAATATAGCTTCATATCAGGAAGTAAAACAGATAAATGAAGTCAATGCTATAAGAAATCATGGAGCACATGTAAACCTGAGCCATCAAGGAGTCATTGCGTGGCTTGTTCACAGATGAAGTGGACTCATCTTTCCTGATTCCCTTCAGCACCTGCCACAATCACTCCACTGTAAGAAAAGCTTCAACCCCATTGCTTCAAAAGGAAAAATGAAGGCAAAATTTTAATAAAATGACATTTCTCGTGAAGGCAGATATATTACCAATTTCCTGTGGTACACAAACACTATATTGAATACTATTGACTGCTAGTTAGATGACTCATATCAGGCTTAAGGATGATATTCACATGCTTTTGTTGTTCTGGTGCATAAATAGACTACAGAATGACGATTACAACATCAATAAGTAATTTTTTACAGGGAATTCAGTCAGAAACCGTTTTCTCTCCATGTGCCATCACACTGGATAGTACAATCAGATAGATAATGCATTTGCTTCATGACAGGGCAACAAGTACCACCTTACTCGTAAAACCATCCATGTCACCACCATCTTAACCTCTTGAAAATATTAATCCTAAGGATAACTCTACAGAAACTACATTTTCTCCACCATCCAATTGATCTTGACGAAAATTTATTCTAGCCCTGCTTGCAAGCCGAAAAAGAAAAAGGAAATTCAGATTATATATTCCCTATCCCTTCTACCAAAACAAATGAAAATACCAACAGGGCATTAGAAGCCTCTGGGTTGATGAAGAATTGGATTTCTACAAGTATGGGCCCAATAGGCTCAATACTTTAGGTTCGAGGCTAAGATAACGAGATGTTTATGGAAACTAGAAGAGAAGAAAGCAAAATTACATCATTTGATGGTATATTATTCATAAACAATTGAACTGGACAAAAGAAATATGGAGAAAGGAAATAGAGACACTGAAATAAATGCAGTTGCATACCTTAAAAGCAGAGAAAACATCTGAAACATTTGGCATGCGACCTTCTTTTGCAAGAACCGACCCTACAATGCCTAGATGACATAAGACGACTTTCATCAGTCAGCAACACAATCCGCTGAGACTTCCAATTAAAATATCACAACATGAACCTAATAGGTTTCCAGGAAATGAAAAGACCCACGAAGGATTAACAGTAAACATCAAACAACTAGCACCATTAAAAATCCCAAGCATAAAGTGTTCAAGAAAAACTGCTTCACATGCATGCATCAGAAAGAAGAAAACATTAATATTTCCTCTACAAAAGAGGAATTAGATAAAAAGAAACCGTATACACCAGAACTGCATATTCTGCATCAGTTGATAGACAAACACTCAAGGATGCTGATCTAGTGAGAAATTCACGCCTCGTGTAGCTGAGGTTTGACCTATTTTTTTCCTTGGGGGCCTAAAATACATGGTACCTAGTCAGTGGTTCCTGTAGTTTCCGGACTCAAGATTAACTAGGTATTCTTCTGCGTTCACTAAGCACTTAAACATCACCAACCTCGTTCAATGGGCAGAATTTGAGTTCTTTACCAAATAAACGGAAGTCATGCTAATATAGATATTTATTGAACTTTTGCAGCATATCATATATCTATTCTTGGACGGCAAATGATGAAGTGATATAAACTCACAAACTCTCGATGCCATGGGCTCCTATCTTACCCATATACTCCAGGGAACATTCTGCTCAAATAATTATCAGGATCCTGAAAGGCATAGGTCTTTTCATGATAAGAGGGATTCGTTCAGACTATTTCTCCTTTCTAATAGTTTCTAATGAACAAGGGCATCGCCAGCAAATTTAGAAATTGACCACATCCCCAAATGCATTACCCTCAGGAGAGAACGCACTTCACCCACTACAGTTATCGGTAACTTACACAGCTAAGTGATTAATTTGTACAAAGTGACACAACCTACTTCAAGCAATGCTAAAGCCAAACTCAACATTTCTTGCCAGCAGCAATTCTTAGCTACTGTAACAATGGTCACCGCATCTCATCAGAGATGTTACCAACCAAGCCACGGATAGGCCCTTAGTTCCACAAGATCTCCGCCATCACATCCCTTCACCTCACCAGAACACCAGGGCCTCCAAACGTGCAAAACACGAACCATGATTTCCGCCCGCCAAACCTGCCCCGAAGTATTTCAACAGGAACTACTCGACGACTCACGCAAAAAACACGATTTCGCAATCGTTCTCTCGCTAGACAGGACAGGACACCAAGCAACCGCACAGCACCAAACACGAGCCACCGAATCCCCAACCACCGTAGCACGAAACCGCGGAAATCCAGGCCTATTGAAAGGGAGCGGGTTCGTGAACTAACCTGCCCCGACGAGAATAGCGAGCTTCCCGAGAGGGAGCGCCATCGCCGGCGGATCAAAACGGACGGAATCGCAATCGAGTCGATCGGCGGAGGCGACAGCGCCGTCAGAGCACCGAGACCATCGTCGGAGAAGCGGACGGCACGGCCGGTGACGAGAATCGCCGGCGATGGAGGGAGGGAGGGCGAGAGGGAAGGAGGGAGAGGGTTATATAGTTTCGACGACTGGTCTCGTCGCCGTCGCGGCTCGCTTCAGTGAGAGACTGGGGAACTCCGAGCTTGCCCTCAGCTTCTTTGCTGGGAGAAAGAAAGAGACGAGCCCCTATGCACGATTTCCAAGATGAATGACCCTCGATTCCGCTCCAATTTACGAATCCTGCCATCGCACGGGGCCGAATATGCCCGGTCGCGATTTTTCTTGGGCCGGGGAGATGCCATCAAAAAGGGCAAAAAAAATGTGGCGGAATATATTCTTACCCTTAATAAAAAAAAATTTGGACGTGAATTGTTGTTAATAATGATAATGCTTTTTTATTAATTTATTTTCGTTTCCGAAAAAATAAATGATCTGAAAAGCATTTTCACAAGAATAATCGCTTGTATCATTTGCAAAAATAAATGAATGATAATTATTTTTTATTGTTCACAAAAATATTTATTATGTGTATCAAAATTCGAAACTAAACTCGCGAAATTCAGCGCACACCTATTCATGGATCCAGTGGCCGTCAATAGAAGTGGGCCCAGCTTTTGGCCCGTGAGGCCGGTCCGGTCCGAGCTTACTATACATAAGATTTTTGGGCAAACTCAGACAAAATTCACTCTTCTATGAAACTCGGCCTCCTTAGATATGTTATCCTCTTTAGCATTTTCATTTAGCCATGGACCGATAAAAATAAATGAGCTCAAAAAATCCGGTTACGGGCAGCCCTAACTTGATCCAATGAGGTCTAGATATTTCTCTAAACTCTGGATGGCTAATCTAGATGCATCCATATGAAATTTGGACACGTGCCCGAGCCTACTCGTGATATAAAAATAAGAGTCGTTTGGTTGAAGGAAACTTTCTCCGACTTCATCGATTCGTTACAAACGTGGACATCGCCCTCATTTAAGCATAATTAAAGACAAATATGAGTAGTGGTCCCATTCACAACTCTGAATGGGATATTAGCAACCAAGGGAATTGTTGCGGTGACGAGGGATTTGAACGGGAGACCATGCATTGCGTTGGACCGCTCGTATCTGTGGGTTAGGTTTTGCAAGCAGAAGGGAAGCCCTTTTCACTAGCGACTTGTCCAGTAGAACGGTAGGTGTGACAGTAATCAGTTTATCTTGAGAGCGATTCTCTTTGAGAAATGATTAAGTGACTGTCATTAATCTACTGTAAGAATAATATACTCTTTTGGACCACAAAAAAATATATAATTATTGTTGTGGGATCTACTCCTTCAAGAATTTGTGACTTGCAACATGATATTATTCTTACATTAACCTAAAATTTGTAATACTAGCAAAGTCCATTCTCTTTCTCCTACGAAGGCTATTAACACACCCACCGGCATCCAGAAGTTGATATCTCTGCAGACATCCTAGCTAGCTAGGTCTTCTCTAGGGCTGTCAATAAAGCCCGGCCCGCCCCGGACCAGCCCGGACCGACCCGGCCCAGCCCCAAAATTTAGGGCTTCTTCGGGGCGGGCCTCCTCTGGGTCGGGAATAGTTTTAAATTTTGAATATTATCTTTATTTCGGGCCGGGTCGATCCGGGCCAGGCTTTTTTGACAGCCGGCCCGTGACTTAAAATACCCTAGCGCATCCTCCTCCTCTTCTTTTTCGCTTCGCCTCTTCTTCTTCGCTTCGCCTCTTCTTCTTCCTCCTCCTCCTTCACCAGACCATCGCAGCCTCTCTCTCTCTCTCTCTCTCTCTTCTTCTTCTTTCTCCTCCTCCTTCATCAGACCCTAGCGCATCCTTCCCCCGGGTCGGTCCGAGCCGGGGTCGTGGGGCTGTTCCTCGCCGAGTTGCCGCACCTCTTCGTCGGCGACGCGGCTTCGCACCAGAACGAGAACCCTTCGATCGCGGCTGCCGGATCCCCCACCCCGGCGGCGGCAAGAAGGACGCCGCCGCCGCCGCCGCCACCAAGGAGGGGGGAGCGGATGCGTGGTGGTGGTGGTGGGGATCCCGCTTTGAGGAGCATCGGGAGCTCGGCCACCATCCGTCCTCCGCCCTCGGCGTCCTCACCCACCCGTCCTTCGCCGTCATCATTGCCGGCGGCCGAGAACCCAATTTACCCACCTCCTCCTACTCTGGGGAGGCGCCACCGCCAGCACAGCCGTCCTTTCCCTCCAGCGACTCCCCACCTCCTCCTGCTCCCCCAACTGCAAACCCGAAAACCCGGACCGACTTGACCCGGACCGACTCGGATTTTCACTTCGGGTTCTATGCGTTTTGGGTCGGGTCAGGTCAGAGAAAGCATGCGCCCCTCGTGATTCAGGTCGGGTCTAGTATCATAGAAACCCGACCCGACCCATTGACACCCCCAGTCTTCTCATCACAAAGTCACGGTCCCTTTCCTACTTTGAGATACATGTGTCAATTGCGTTAAAGAAGTCTCATGTCAAATAACTGATGTGGTATAGAGCAATTAATATGTCATAATTGGCCCATAACTCATGTCTTAAACTTTTGAGTGAGGGTGAGTTTAATCGGATATGTTGTCGAGCTCAGACTTGGGATCCCTCCTGGCGATCTCCCAACAAATGGTATTAGATTGATTAGCGATCCACTCCTAAATATGTATTGGTGTTTGGTGAATATCTCAAGGAAAGAATCTAGTAACCAACGCGGTTTCCGGACAGAGAGATGCCTAAATTAAGGGGGAGTAGACTTGACGGTGAGCTCACACGTGAGGGGTAGTTGGCTTGTAACTTATTCGCTTAAACTTTTGAGTGAAGGCAAGTCCAATTAAATATGTTGATGGGCTCGGACTTGGACTCCATCTTTATGATCTCCGAGTTTGAATGTGGCCGCTCATGAGATGGCTAAATGGGCGCTGTGAATAGCTCTAAGTCACTCTTTTCCTTCTTCTGTTTTGCCGATAGAGTTCCTTTGCAATTGGTATTCTGGATATTGAATTAGATCCTTTACTTATCATAAAAACAGATAGTTCCAAACGCTAGAGAGACTAATGATGTACACAGGGGTTAGCGTGATTGAGGACTAATTAACAGTATTTCATGCAACATATAATCAAGAGGAAATATAAAAATAATCAGCTGGATATATTATTTCCTTTAGACACTGTGTAGTTCAAAATAAGGTACGTGGTCAATTAACCCATTTTTTCAATATACAATATGTATATAACTACTATCTCGATGTCCCAGAATACGAAAATTTAACGGCAACAACGGCGTTCGTGACCTATTAAAGGGAGGTACTGTAAATCTGCAACTGGCTCAAGATGTGCTCGAAGTTCTCCGTGGACTTCTCGATCTGATGAGAATGCACTCCTTCGTAGGTCGTCACCACGACGCCTTCGTCTTTGGTCAGTCGTTGGACTTGCTTCTTCACGTTGCAGCCTTGGTACGTGCATCGGTAGTAGCTCCTGCATGCATGCATCGCATCGCTCACAGATGTTAAGACAAATATAACAGATGATAAACTACTCATTAATACACATGCATGCATGCACACATGCAAATCGCAAAAGGTACTGGGCTCATTCATATCTGGGATTATTCTAGAAGGTGAGATAGGAAACTTGTGTCGATATGACAGTGAAGCCTGTTCAAACTTTTCGGTCAGTCGTAGAAGGTTCTCGTGGACTATATAAGAGGAACCCAAGCCAATATTCAAAGCAATCTTAATTCTGCAGAAGCGGAAATCTGTGTTAAATTGATCCAATCATGCCGATTTATGTTTGACAAACCTATTAAGAAAGGATAGTAAATGATCCTTTTAGTCAACATCGCTGAGAATTTTGCCCCTATCGGTTAAATTCGGAGTCATCGTCGGCATACTGGTTTGCTTCCACAAAAGAAAGGTATAGAGGAATTTTTATCATGGCTAGGCTGACCACGAGAATGTGAAATATCCGATTGTACGGATTTCCTTTCTTTTGAGTCAAGCCAGAAGAATTAATCATACACCTGCGTACTTATAACGCTACCGTATACTCCATGACTCACCGGAACTTCCAATTAGTTAAGCCGTGCGGGTCACCATGATACATCCTCTGGATCATAATTCTGGAACTTATGGAGCACAACATCGTTTAAACGTGAAGGGTTTCTACACTGTAAATTGTCGATTTCGTGTTTGCTTCAAGTTATGCAGTGATGTCAAACCCGATTGGAATCACACGGCAACATGCAAAAAAAACTAGGTGTTTTAAGTTCGACTAAACTGAACTAGAATTTTCTTCATTCAAACCCAATGTACCAAACCTGAACTCAAGTAATACTCTCTTCTCAGTTCTCACGCATCCTCCAAACAGTAAAAAGAGAGAGAAGTTCGAGTATGTACACTTCAGTTCCAATTCGGGAAAATTATCAAAATAGTTATAAATCTATTGCAATTGTGTCAATTCAGTTCTAAACTTTTTTTGTGCCAATTCAGTTCTAAACCTTTTGCATTTGTGCCAATTCAGTCCATCCGACCAATTTTGGCCGGCCAACGCTAACATGGACGCTGGCAGGGCAGCGAACGCTAATGTGGTAATTTTTTAAATATATTTTTTTATTTTTTCAAAAAAATTTATTAATTTTTTTTCCTTTTTTTCCTTCATCTTCTTTAGCCTCTAGCTGATCGCCGGCTAGAGGCTGGGGTCGGCCTCATTCGAAGCGATCGGCGAGGCCGGCCTCACCTAGGGGACGAGACCTTGCCAGATCTGGCGAGGCTCATCCTTGCCGACCGCTAGCGAGGCCGACCTCGCCAGTGGCCGGCGGGGCCGACCTTGCCGGCCCCAGCCTCTGGCCAGTCGCTGGTCCGGCGACCGGCTAGAGGTTGAAGAACATAAAGGAAAAAAAAGAAAAAAATTAATAAAAATATATTTTAAAAATTACCATGTCAACGTTCATGGGCTGGCCGGCGTCCACGTCAGCGCTGGCCGGCCAAAATTGGCCGGATGGACTAAATTGGCACAAATGTAAAAGGTTTAGGACTGAATTGGCACAAAAAAAGATTTAGGACTGTATTGGCATAATTGCAATAGGTTTAGGATTGTTTTGGTAATTTTCCCGTTCCAATTCAATGATGTGAAAACGGTTTTAATCCAATTAAGCAATTCAATGGTATGAAAAGGGTTTTGGTTCCAATTAAGCATGGCAATCTCTAGAGCACCTATAATCAAAATATTAAATACTAAAATGCGGAATCATATCGAGAATCACAGCGATGGCAACATGTGAAGAAAACCCTTGATTTTTGGTTTCTAACGGGACAAATATGCCAAATTTAGCTCTTATATATATGTGCTTCCTTTCCTGTGTCAATGGAATTGACAGCTACCAAACAACTCTATTCTCTCCACCTCTCTCTCTTCTATTTCGATCCTGGGCTGTGCTGAGCTACGATGAAACCAAAGGGCACAAGTTATACAAAATCTAATAGCTCACGATATCGATCAGGATAAGTAACGGATTACTTTTCTAAATTTCGCCGATCAGAGAGGGTAACCACATCGTATAGCTCGGCTGTGAAAATTTTCTGACCAGTCGTTTGTGCTGGATTAACCTAATCGCCGAATTCTAGGGATAGGGTGATTATGGTGGTCGCGTGTAGATGTTAGTTCGTCTCGCAATGGGAGTTCTAACCTAATCTTTCTTGTTCAACGTTTCCAGCGTCTAGAAGAAGCCTGAACATATACAGTTCGATGATGATAAGAGGATATTTTGTGTGTTGACCTAGAGAGAGAGAGAGAGAGAGAGAGAGAGAGAGAGAGAGAGAGTAACAAGCAAACGATCAAGAAAGAGAGTTAGAATTAACTATTTAGGATAATAAGTTGTTCAAAATATGTCGCTCATCCTTGTTTAAAGATTTGAATGTTTGCTTTCAGAAATGGTACCGGTGCAGGAGATCGTCCCATTCAGTCCGTGTTAAAGATGCATAAATCTATGTTTTCTCATGCTCTTCTAAAAGGATTTTGTTAACTAAAAACTTAAAGAAATAATTGACCTCAATCAACTAACTCACCGTGGGAATTTGTTGTTCTTCACGGCCTTTTGGCCATATTTCCTCCACCGATAGCCATCGTCAAGTATGTCCACTTGGCTCCTCGTCTGGAAAGCGTACTTTGGCTTCTTCACCTTCTTAGCTCCCTTCTTCTTCGCCGCCTTCAAGGCGTCCTCGGCATCGTTCTCGTTTGCCACGGGCGCGTCCGGCACGCGATGGTGGTCCGACGACGACGAGTTCGACGTGAACAACCCCAGATAACCACTACTTTGCTCGATGTTGTTGCTATTATCGTGGCCTTCGAATTCAGTGTTGTAAGGACCCAAACTGGTCAACCTAGGGTTCAGTGACAGCAAGGACGGAGATGAAGAAGATAGCAGCGGTGAAGACGGGTAAGGGAGGAGTGAAGAAGAGTAGCTCAAGTTCTCCATGAAAGAGCAAGAAGAAGAGACAGGCTGGTCGCAATGGGTGTTCATGGAAGGAGAAGAAGGAGACGGAAGCGAAATACGTTGGGGATTTATGTGGCTGGGAACGTGCAAAAGAAAAGGATGGGAAAATATTTAATGCAAGGGGGTGGCTGCTGCAGCGACGGCTAAGCGTCTAATTAGCTTTTCTTTTTCTTAACTTTATCCTACGTTAGAAGTCGTAAACGACACGTTAGGCGGTAACGTATTACTCAGGAATAAAGATGGGAGTACAAAGAAACTATATTATAAACGAAACATGTCTTGCATCTGCTAGAAGAGGTTTGCACCATTTGATACATGTATCCCTTTTGGAAACATATATGATATCATATTAATTCCAAATAACGTTAGCGTAGATAATAATGCGGCAGCCAAAATACGGCCCATTCATTTAAATATCCATTTAAGCTTTATGGAATCTATCTGTATATCGTTTGTGTATACTCCTAGCAGCAAATAGTACATAAATGAATGTAACTTTCTCATTCTAGTACAGTAAATTAGTTGAAGATTCTAGGTGCATACATACTGACTAAGTGAGCTGCCGACGAGCCGTGGAACAAGTGAGTTTCACGAACAAAAGGCAATAGCCACGCGCGCAGTTCGTTGGAATCTACGTTTTAACCACACTGATGACAAATGAATCACGTCACCGAACACTGCTCAAACGACCGGAAAAACAGTTTTCTCAGCATAAACATGGACAGAAAACGAATCCTCTGTGTATAAACAGTGCAGAGCTACGATCAGAGGGCGGCGGATGTGGAGATGCTGCGGGGACTTCTTTGACTGCACGGTGAGAAGTTTTATCGGGAAGAGCAGTACATAAACTACACGTATTGAGCTAATTTGGTTGGTTTATACCAAACTTTTTAAGGGTAAGAGCGCAATTGTTTGTTCTTTTCTCCATAGATTGCGACACGTGGAAGGTGTGCGGCGTGCGCTTGCTTTTCTCAATGTTAGGCTCGTGGAGATGACGATGTTTCCGCCAAGTGACGACGGATACTACACGTTTGGATCAATTATAGCTACGAACGACCGTTCCCATGTGCATCACATAGTTCATAGCTTAGCTTCTATATCCATGAAATGTTCAATGCAGGACACTAGATTGCTCTTGGTCATTCACCGAAAAGAAAGAATTGGCGTAGCCCATGTTATTTTTCTGCGCGATCTATTTACTGAAATTAGGAAACGACTGCGATATTTACTACAGTTTTTCTTTTTATTGATGTTTTCTGGCGTGACGTATTTGAATACTAATCTTCGTTTCATAAAATTGACGTTAATGACAAGTCCGGGGGTTTTTGCCGAGTTAGGATGAGTAAATTGACGCCACAAGCCTTGTTGGGGTAGTGACGCAACATTTTGAAAAATAGATGAGTGGTTTCGAGATAAAATTTTAATGCGATGTGTCGTTACTTCACAAAAGCATAAGGGTAATAAAAGTATCCTTGCTCAGCAAGAAAACTTTCATGCAATGAAATCCAATCATCGAGACCCCATAGACAACCACAAGATTCTACCAAGGAACATAGCGTTGCCCAAGAAATTTCTTTGTGCGACTTGCAAGCAATTTTTTGATTTTAAACAGGCGACCTCCAGTTTCTAAGCTGAACTTCTGCTTTGACGAGATATTATAAATCAACCGATCTTATATTGAGTCATGACCTAATCTATTTAAAATACCAATTAGTAGCCTATAGAATATTGTCCAATCTTTTGTCCCCCTAAGGCATTGGCCACTACATACAACTTACGGGCGAAATTTCAATATTATCTTAAACCAATGTCATAAACTCTACCCCGTATTTTTTTTTTCTCGATACTCACGACACGAAGTAATTATCGCGAGTAAATAGACTAGCAAAGGCTATATGTTTACCATTAACCAAACACGAGTTATGCACAAACACCAATGCACGGAACATTCACGATGATCAATAATCGGTAACTGGTAATCCGAATCGGTGCATCGTTGAAGATAAAAGAACGTGGAATAAAGGCGCGCATGCTTGTGTTGACCGGTCGAGCAGTCCAAGTTTGAATCGCCCACATCGCCCGCCGTTGGACGACAGGAACGGATCCCCTCGTGCCTCCATCGTGGGTCTGCCTGTTCCTTCGGCAAGATGCATATGTTTAAAGGCTGACACACGTGGATCCGTCATTAGCAGATCGCGATTTCCATTTACCTTAGCACACGAACATGATAACATTGCATCTCTAAGTAAAAATAGAAGATTACGGTCACGTGAATACAATCGTTCCCGAGTACGAGCGCGCACCGGAACCCGAACCTTCGATTATTTTATTTGCTCGCGGCTCGCTTTTTCAAAGGTGGGGGAACTCGATTCTTACTATCTCTAGCCTAGGTAAATTTCTAGCTGGTAATTTCACTCATGCACGCCAAGGTGTCGATAATTGCAGACCAAAATAAAAATGATTTGAGTGGCGTGCTGGTGAGAACGGAGGAAAATGAAACTTTGATCCCTATTTTGTCTTCTTGCCGACGGAATAATATTCCATTCGATGTCCATTGGAAAACGACATATTGCCCTATAACATTTGTCAATTCAAAGGTGAAGGGACCGCGAAGTGGACACACATTCTCATCGTGATATAATCTGAGCTAATTAGAAGTTTCGTTTCGGGTCAATATTACGAAAAACTCTAAACTGGTACATCTATGATGAATTTGCCCAAAACTAATTTTCTAGACCATCAAAAATCTCAAACTTGTACACTTGTGATAAATTTAACACAAAACTAATTTTTTTGACCATAAAAAATCCCAAACTGATATATTTGTAACATATTTACCCTCTGTCAAATTAGATTAATATCACGAAAAATCATAAGCTGTTATACACCCACCCCAAACCGGTACACCTGTAAATTGTTAAGCGTTATCCAACTCAGAAATTTGACGATAAAATTTAACGAAAACTAACAAAAGGTAAATTTATCACGGATGTATCAATTTTGGGTTTTTGGTGGTTTAAAAATTAGTTTTTTGGTAAATTTATCACGGATGTACCAATTTGAGATTTTTAGTGGTATTAACCCTTTTATTTTTGTGGCGTTGTTGTCCTCGACACATTATCCAAAAATTTTCAAGACAAAAAAGATTACAAAGGCGATGCACAGTCTGAGATGTTTCAATTTCAATGCGAAATAGCATGCGCTTGGAAGTAGATCTTTCTCTTTCGGGTTGATGTGAAAATTAGAGGAGAAATATATAAAAAAACAAAAATTGGGGTTATTTTTTTTTTGGGTCAGAAAAAAATTTGGACTTAGCGGGACATCAGTTTTTTTCTTTTTTTTGCCTTTTCTTCTCCAGGTGATCGAAGAAAAATTGTTTCGTAAAATTATAAAAGAAAAAAGTTTAAAATACCCAAAATTTGAATATCCATGTATCTTTTAATGTGCTCATTTCAAATGTTAAAAATAATTAGGATAAAGCGAAACAAAAATAATTGCAATCACTCTGCTGTGGAAGCATGGTAATAGAGTTTGCTCCTAAAGTTCACGTCCAATTGTTTCGGGGTTCAAGTCCTGTTGAGAATACTCCAAGAGTAAAATCCCGAATGCATTAGGACCGTGCGGGGGGTGTGCATCATTTACATCATCGTGGACCAGTCGAGGTGCGCGAAAACCAGCTTGGACACCACCTAACCTGCCACGAAAGAAGAACACACGGACACACAACCCGATCGATACATTTCGGGGCACAGCATTCTCCCTTTTTTCCAGTGGCCGCGGAGTTGAATAATAATTCACCAGGCCCACTCATAATATGCATCAGCAGACAGTGCTGTATCAGCATGGACACAACCAAACCACAGAGCTCTGCACCCAGCCGATGGCCATGTCATTTCTCTGTACACTGAACTACAGCTAAAACTTATGAACCTGATCCATGGAAATCGAATCCCAAGTCACTTGGAAGGTATATTATATACACGCATGCACGACGTAGGCACGCCGGCCACTATTCATAGTCCTCTCTCTTTGACCATGACTCCCGCGGACAGACGGAGCAGTTATCCAGATCTTCCTCATTTTTGACCGATCCGATCGTAAGACCATCGCTGTTCCTTCCCCTGCCGCTCCTCCTCTGGTTTCTTCCGTCGATGGTACGCGCCAGGTCGCCTTCCTTCGCGTCGATGCAGATGATTCCAAGGAGAGATTACATCATCGCTGGCATCACTTCGAGGACGATCAAGGACCGGGGCTTTCGGCAGCGAAACCCACTCTGTGGGCGGCGTTGAATCTGCCTTTGAAGTTTGAAGCATCGCGTTAGCATTTGAAAGTGATTCGTCTAAGAGCTCATCACTAATTAATTATATATGTTGAATAGTAAGCAATTAGTTAATTTTATGTTGGCTCGTAAAAAAAAAAACCCCAATCTGTAAAATCTTTTAAATTAGAATATAATCGAATTTGCAGTATAAATACATATAACGTATTGCATAAATACATACATACATCTGTAAAAAAAAAAAGTTTTGCAAAATATAGTGGATTGCAACGGAAATCCTTAATCTATCTAATATTATGTTATATCCGTATGGGGTGGTAGTCAAGAACGTATGATTAACTTTTATTCTTAGTCTCAGCCTCCGGGAGACTAGTCAGAAAGCTTTTCGACTGAATTTTATACGAATTTTATTTATTAAACCAACTACCGGATGACCCATTATAAAATTCAAAAGTCTGTTTGTTTCACGAAAAATTAGATAATTTAAAATTTATTTTTGTAAAACTGATCGATTATATCACTTAAAAGAATTAGTCAATGAAAAATTAGCCAGTGACCAACTAAACAATCTAAGTTCTGAACCAAGACAAGGGGAGGTGTAATTGATATATCTTTCTGAAATTACCGAACCTAGAGGTGGTTCTAGTATTTATCATGAGGCATAATCCTGATCATGAATTCTTATCACAATGACATGATGCGGGTAATTCAACGGCTCTCTCCTTGCGCAAGTTGTAGTTTTTGCAATGATATTACATGGAAAAGCACTTCAATATTCATTCACACAAGGAGAGTGAGAGAACGAGATGAACATCT